GCTGGGCGAAATGCTCGACTGGGAAAATCCCTGGCCTTGACCTGGTCGCGAAAGTCAGCAAGCCCTTCATACGTCATGTGACCGACATCCGCAAATACTTTACAGAATTTGGGAACATGCACAGCATGGTGCGGATGGTGGAGTGAGCCAAGGAGGTCATGATAGACCAAAACCTGGCCATCGGTTCCTGGACCCGCGCCAATGCCAATCGTCGGCACGTCAAGCGCGTCGGCGATTGCAGCACCGACGATCGCAGGGACGCACTCAACAACGACTGCGAATGCGCCAGCATCTTGAAGTGCTAGTGCATCGTCCAGCACCCGTCGTGCCTTGATCGCGGTACGCCCCTGGGCACGGAAGCCACCGAGCGTGCTAATAGCTTGTGGCATAAGTCCGACGTGGCCCATGACCGCGACACCACTCTCTACAAGCTTGGCAACGGTCCGCGCCATATGCGCACCGCCTTCTACTTTGACGCAGTCTGCACACCTGCGTGGTGTTAACCTCAGCTTACGCAACAGCAACATAGAAACTAAACACAGGTTACGAGTACCCTTCCTTCATCGCGCGGTACGCAGAACGGAGTGCAATCTCTGGCGACTCCTCGTAGCTACCGAATGGTAGGTCACATACAAGAAGCGGACCATCATTCGAGAGACCACGCCGTACAGCCTTGCAGTGGTGGATCATTTCATCGAGGGTGACCGGCTGAGTCGTTTCATATCCGAGCGCAACCATACCCAAAGAGTCGCCGCAAAGCGCGACGTCGATGTTAGCCCCATCGACGTGCACACCACTCGGGTAGTCATAACATGTCACCATGCAAATCTTCTCGCCCAGTCGCTTCATACGCAATAAGCTCATGGCTGTAGTCTTCGTCCTACGCCGCTCGTGTCTACCAACATTGGAAGCGATACTTCTCAATAAAACTCGCGCAAACATGTTCAGTTTTCGCAGACTGACCGAGCCTGGGGTCGAGCCTGGGAGATCTCCCTGTAGATTGTTAGAATCCGAGTATGCCAGATGCGGCACCAGCATAGTATAGCATGAGCATAGCCAGTATAAGGCAGACTTAAGGCAGACTTAGCATAGCCAGCATAGGCCAGTATGAGCGCCCCAGCATAGGGAGGATAGCATAGTCCCGAGTTAGGGTAGCATAGCCCAAGGAGCGGAATGTAGGGCCCCCGGGGCCCTAGGTAGCTGGCTTATCGCCAAGCGCACTTTGATTGTGCTGAATCACACTCGCGTTCTGACCGCGATAGAGACAGAGAACCAACTCACTATCTCTGCAGATGAATGCGATATACCAGAACCAAGAGGCATGGAGGCACACAGGTATGGGCTGAGAACCAAGGGACCTGTACGACGCGCTCGACTCCGGCGAGCTCGTCCTTTATCACGCCCCGTCGAAGTTCAACCCGGCGAACACGCTCACGGCCTCCGAGGACTAGGACCGCTTTCGACGCTCGCCGCGGCTGGCGATGATCGCGGGGCTCCGCGTCAACGACAGATACGAAAGGCCAAGTGGACGGAAACTCAGTCTCACTCTGGATTAGCAAACGATTTGAATATCGTAGGCGAGTTAACGTCCTTTTCAAATTCACATGATGCAAACTTCGGCCGGAGGGCGGCCTGTTTCGACGGCGATTTCACGGCAGATGATTGGGACGCGTGGCAACCTGACTTCGTCGATGGGTACTACTGCTGCGCAGGGCGTTGCGCTGGGGACTACGGTTAATGTCTCAGATCGGCCTGTGACGCAACAGGGAATGCGCGGGATGAAAACCGCTCAAGGGCCGGCGCGACAAGTTCAAGACTCATCGTATTATGTCGGAATCCTTAGGAGCAAGGTTCGTTACTTTACCTGGGAAAAAAGACAGTCAAAATGTGTGCAGGTTACAGAGCTGATGAACGAGATTCAATCTCTGCAGTCAGAACACAAACAGCACGAGCGGTCGATGAACGAGTATGGGGGTCTACAAAAACGCCACGAGAACCTTCTAAATGAGGTTCGCGCTCTGGAAGGAACCCTCGCAGACTATAATCTTGCGATGGATAAAGCTCGAGTCAGCACTCGCTCTGTATCCAGAATAATAAATGGGTTTGAATAGCAATGCAAGATGGTAGGTACCGATCCGGCAGAACTGAATGATTACATAACTGAGTTTCGGGCAAAAAACAAGCAATTCGCAAACGAGATTGATCGAGTTTTTGTGATTAAAAAGCAAAAGGATGAAGAGACTAAACAGATCGAAGCTCAGATTAGGGATCTACATGAACTTGCCCAACACAAGATAAATGAATTGGAGCCCGAAAAGTTGAATCGCTACAATAGGCTGCTCGACCAATCATCTGAGTTAATGCGCAAGCAAGATGCTGCCTTAGCAGATGTTGACGGTCTCGTTGCACAGATCCATGACCTTGAGGATTCGAATCATAGGCCGTCATACTCAGATGAATATACGCAGCTCTCTAAACGCCGGGCACGGCTGCAGAAAGAAGAAAGGAGCCTGTCGGAAGAGCTTGCAATCTGGGAACTGACGGATCCAAAGGAAGCTCTAGTGAAACTAAAGCGGCGGGTCGAAACACAGTCTAAGGAGCTTAAGGAATACGATGGATATTCCAAAGACTTCCGGGATCGAATTATAAGCTCACAGAAGCAGCTGACAGAAATTCTCGATGAGCTGAAGGAACGCAAAGGTGAGTCAGGTGGCGATAAAGACAAATATGAAAAATTGCGCCAGCGTGATGATGAGATGAGTAGTTTTATCGCCCAGTTTGAGATGACTCGCTCATCTACACTCAAAGATCAACAGCAAACCCAGGATACTATCATTGCACTCCTCGAGCATGTGTCGCAGGGTCTTGAGCAACAGAATTCTATGCCATCTCAGCAACGCTTGCGTGAAATGCGAGATGAGGCCACATTCAAGGAACGCCAGCTTGAGTCTAGTCAACAAACGACTCAGCGCCTCATTCAAGAGCGTAAGCAGCGTGAGGCTGAAATGCTTAAAATAGAAAATCTTGATGAGAAGATTCAAATTGAGTTAGCTTCGCTCCAGCAGAAAATGGAAGTCATGCGCGGAGACATGTTAGAGTTCGACGATATCGATGGTCTTCGTCAACGCGCCGCGGCAACAATGAGCGCCCTTTCGAGGCTACTAAAGGAATATCAGAGTCGTCAAGAATCTGTGAGGTCACAGGTAGCTTGTTTCGAGTGTCATTCTTTGAGGTCTGAAGTGATTAGGTCACACATCTCACTGCAAAATATGAAGCCCTCAAGGGAAAGATTCAATCGTCAGAGTCTGCCAAGACTCTATCTGGTCTCGAGGCCAAGTTACGTACATACGGGCAGACTATATTCCATCTTCAGGAATACGTCGAGACGAAAGGTCGTGAGACTGACTACAAGGTCGTAAAAGAGTCCTGCTTGACAATCGTCGAGAAATTAAACGTGCAAGCTAAAACGTCGGCTGCCGTCGGCCACGTTTAAATGACTACGAATAAGCAGCTATCAACCGAAACCAGAGTGAATGGGTTCATATTTCCGGATAGATTCGCTATGGATCGAAGAAAATACCCCCTGTTCAGTCGCTTCCCCCACCAGCCCCTTCCGTACGCACGTGCGAGATTCATGGGGTGCGGCACGTCAACTCCTGCGCAGCTCTAGGCTTGCGTTGGCTAGGCGGCCTAGGCCGCCGGCCTGGCGGCGAGGAAAGGCGGGTAAATCACGGTCCCCGGGGAGTCGATCGGCTCTCCCCCGCCTCGCTCCGGCGCCCGCCCGGGCTGCCCGCCGTCAGTCGGTGGCAGGACTCGCTCCTCGAGCGCACGCGGCGCCGCGGCGCGGCGATCGTGCATCACCGGTGCCCGCGCAGTCCTCGGCGTGTGTGGGGCCCGCTGTGGGACGCGCTCCGCATGGCTGAGGTGGACACCTTCACGTCGAACAGGGCAGCCCCTCGGTCGACGGTCGTCGTGTGGTTTATGTACGAATTCGCCCTTCCCGGGTGGAATTGAAATGCTATCTCCGGACGTCCGCTGCCCTTGATTGTGGGTTCGAATTTCCACGCGCGCGTGACGACGACGGCGGCGGCGGCGGCGGCGGCGGCGGCGGCGGCGGCGGCGACGACGACGACGACCGACCAACCCAGCCCTACTGAAGGGAATTGACTGGGGATGGTGATATACGATCCCCGATGCTGCGAGAGGTCGATAGACATATGGGGTCGAGGGGATCAAACGCGCCCCATCCCAGCCCACGAAGAACGGTTCGAGTCACCACGCGACCGGCAGCACTTCGCGTCTGCGCACGTGCGTCAGGCTCACACTAGCGGAGCTCGAAGCTACTGGGATCGTTGCATGATTCCGCATTATCGCGTGGTTGGGGGCTGATAAAGACGCTCGAACCATAGCTTCGTCTTAAAAGGGTCTCGTTCCCGAGGACCGCATCCTGTCCTATTCGCGCGTCTAAAATTGTGCGCCCATGCCATCGCCCTCGCTAGAGCTTAGGCCGGACTTAAGAGCCTCTTAAGTGCCTGCTACTAGGATTAAGCTAAGTTATAGTCATTTCTTACTGCCCATCAACGTGACGTTGCGAGGTAGACTAATCTCGGATCGGGGCTCTTTGCCCTCAATCGCTGGAGTTAAGTGAGTAAGAAAGAAAAGGAGCAACGTCATGGAAATCAAGATATATGTCCTTCATCGCTCGCTGTGACTATCCTAAAGCCAGACTCTAGATACAAGCCCACTGCACTGCCAACTTCAACTTGAAGCTAAGCCAGTCAAGATACCTCAGTCCAGTCTCCCCGCCACAGGCCTGCCCAACCTTGAGTAATTACCCATGAAATTCCCATTTCATGGGAATTACTGGTAATTACTGCCCTGTATTCTTAGTTACCGAGGAATCCGGCGCTCATACCTCAAGGGGGCTGCCCCATCGCGTGGTGCAGCTGGCGATAGGTATTTTTGGCCACGTTGAGGCCGGACTTGTCCCTGGGGACTATCCGTTGGGAGGCCGCTGACGGTGCTGGGGAGGCCGTTGGGGGGAAGTGCCCTTGGCGTCCTGTGCCTGCTCCCATTTTACACGGGTCGTAACATATAGTCTGAGATAGTGGATGCCCTGGTCCGGAATGAAACACAAACTTTGAAGAAATCCTAGCGTCTAGAGGACTAGAGACGGCCTCTCTGCACGAGTATTTCAGCGGCCGATGATGGAATCTCCACCTTAGAGGGCCCCGCGCTCCTCGAATATGCAGCGACGTGCAACGATCCCAGTGGCTTTGAGGTCCGCAAACATGTGGGTGAGGCACATGAAAAGACGCGACATCCGGACGATTGCGAGGTGGCGCAGACGGGCAGCCTCAGGGGGTGGAATGGGGCGCGGCAGCTTCCCCCGACCCGATTTTCGGTCGTCTTCGAGTCACAGAGCGTCGGGAATCGTTCGTCATGAGGGCGATCAGATGCCCTCGCGGCAGCTCTTCGGCTCGAGCCGATTTGATCGAGATCACCTCACCGGCTCCGGGAGGCGCGCGGCGCCGCGGGTGACACGGCGCTCACCGCGCAATGCATGTTCTGAGCCGTCCGCCCGGTCCTTGACAGACCACTCGGGAGGGACATTCCAGGGGGTGTTTACTCGAAGTCGGGCGGACGGCTCGACCCCTGGAACTAAGTTGGGCCCCTCGTCGGTCGCCCCCCACCGTTAACGGCCATTCTCGTCATCCACGGGCTGCCCCGACGCGAACTAAGTTGCTCGCCTTCGACCGATGGTCTTTCCCGAGCGACTCGCAGCCGGGCCCGAGGCGCGGCAAGGTCCACAGACCGAGCGCCGCGCCAAGTCTTGGAACCGCTGCATCGGATGCCCGAGTCGGAAACCGAGGTCTGCTACAACAAAATGATGTCACGGCCGGGTTCGAACCGAGCGTCAACAATCGAGCAAATCTACTTCAAGTTACGACCCATGTTAATGGCCCTCATTCTGCCCTTATTCTCCACAGGCACAAAAGCTACTTTTGGCGCAATTTAAGTAGTATCATTGGGAACTGCATCTAGGTCGGTGGCTAGTAACCAGCGCGCACGTAGGAACTGCTCAACCACTGTCGCGCTGAACCTGCCTTGGTAATTCAGGCATGTTGTAAAAAAATGGTTTTGCCCCATGTCATCGGGACACTCGAGAGTCTGAGCTGAGGATTTAACTTGGTTAGGGTACTGGGCAATCGTATATGTTGTGCGAAATTTACTAAAGTGCGAGTCACCCATGAGTGTCATGCGATCAAGAATATCTTGTGATTTATTGCTTTGATTTCTGCTTGAACGTTCACGGCGGCTCAGCTGAGCATGCAAGCCTACATTGTGCGGTGAAATATTGAATGTAAAGGTTTCTAGATCGTCGCTGAAGTCATCGTCACTATCGGCAAACGAGTCAGAATCTGTATAGCAATCGCCAGATGGAGGCGCAACTTGAATGATTTGGCAAACACTCGCATCTAGTGAATGTTCTATTTTGAAACAGCCTCTTTCTGAAAACCTAAGTATACAAAACCTAAGTATACATTTTTGTTTAAAACACCGCTACAGCACGTGAACTGGAACTCGTGTGCGCCGGGTCCTAATTTTTGGCTGACAAACAGCCCGGAGCACAGAACTTGAGGATACGGCGAGCAGGCCATATCGTCAGTGCGCCATAGGATGCGTTGACCAATTTCAACTTCCACAATTTTTGGTAGAATACTAGCAGCTGCCACGTTCACAACGATATCCTTTGATGCGGGCGCCGTGACATCTTCTAAGATTCGACGGGGTGAACAATCGACTCTATGGCCGCGGCGACGATCCATTTAAAGTAATCGACGAACTCTCAAGCCACCCGATGCTGCCAGCGGGCAATTATTAATAAGAAATGAAAAAACAGGCACACAGCCCATATAGAAAATAAGTTAAAAACCAGAGTAGCGATCTTTTGTCCGAGACGCACCATTTTCTTCAAAATTGCATTTACGGCAGTACAATATGTTTCGGGTAACGAGTTAGTGCATCAAGGGTAGGTAGAGTGGGCCCCAAGGCCCACCCCACTACCCTAGTTTACTACCTAAACTCCCTCCCTAGGGCAATCTCATCCATGGATGCTACGACGTGCAGTGGCCTTGCCGTATGCTGGCCTCTATACAGCCGCCCCATTCGCGTCTACTACTTGTAAACAAAGCCCGCCCCAGCCCCTACTGTGGCACTAGCAAGGGAGCTTGGACTACCCTTGGTCTCAATCGGGGATGGCCAGCTGGTGGCATCCTGGAACTGCAGCTCCCTTGCACATCTTGGACTATGGATGTTGCGCGCCGCCTGAGCGGGTCGGCGTATGGCTATGCGAGGAGAAGTTGCTATTTGAGACCCGCGGCCCTTTGTCTTTGCGAAGAGTGGACGAACGGGTTTGATGATCGACTCATTTTGTCGTCAAGGGTGTGCATGTGTGGGTGTGGGTGTGCGTGCGTGCGTGTGTGTGCGTGTGCGTGTGCGTGTGTGTTTGGGGGGGGGGGGGGGGGGCTCTGAGTCCGGTGATGAGAGGGAGCAAGCAAGTGGCCAGCCGGATACTTTAAGGGGGTGAATGCAAATCAGTGACTCGAGTCTTTTAACGTTTCATGCTTTGATGCTGCCAAAGCGTGAGTACAGACGCTCGACTTACATATTGATCCGGCGAAATCGATCACACACTTGCCTGAAACCCCCTCGAAGAATCTCATTTACTTTGGGAGCTTATTTCACGGCAGAACAATTCGCTTCATGCGATCCTCCTGTTCAGCAACTGCATCCATAGAGTCCCTGGAGCACACGCACACACGTAAGTGTCGGTTTAGTCTCGGTCTATACTCTGGTTAGCGCCAATCAAGTACGTCGTCATCCTAACAGAAATATTTACCGTACTTTACTCTAGAGTTTGGTAACTAGAACATACCTCGTCCTCCACGGCCGCCTCGTCCTCGTCCTGGTCCTCATCTTCCTCGTCCTCCTCGTCCTCATCTTCATCTTCATCATCATCATCATCATCGTCGTCTTCGTCGTCATCGTCACTTTCGTTGTAGTCTTCGTCGCCATCATCCTCTTCCGCATCCATTTCTTCATCATCATCAGCTTGGAGGAATTGCCAGCCAGCTGGTTTAGGCTCGTCGTTTTCATCAGTCGCCTGGTAAAACCGTGCATCGCCTCTCACTAGACTCATGACACTTTTCCATGACATGCTTGCTTGCCCTGCCTACGCGACCGCGTATCTACCCAAAACGAAACTCAATCTCGTGAATTTCGCTGCAATAGGCGGTATATGTGATAGAGCAGTCCGTGAGCCATTCCTGAATTGAGTCGAGTTCGTGCATCGGCACGGCATTGATTGATAACGGTGCAATTTCGAAGTTTTTAAGGATGATCACCATGTCAAAGTTCTTTGATCGAAAAGTGCAACGCTCAAAGTGAACATGCTCCACCTGCATTGTTTGTGTCAAGGAGGCGCTTGGGTGTCCATGTCAACTCTGAAGAAAACGTGGTTGAGCTCGACTACAAAAAACGGTGTGTCTGTGATGTTCACCAGACAATGAACTGTAGGCTGAATAAGGACCATCTCTCTATTTGGCACTCCGTGGAATCCAAGATCTCGATACGGTATATCGAACCTGATAGAAAATGGTGTTTCAAATGGAATGGCGTTAAGACAAAGCCCTGACTCAAGTTGATGATGATGATGCTTGGCTATCCGTTCCACCTTCTTGCAAAATTCCTTAAACCTGCTCGAATTGACGTAACGCAAATACGGCGACAAGATGCACTCTCAGACACTGCAGGGCGACATCTCATTGAGCTTCTTACGCAAGTGGCGTTCTCGTTGCTCTTCGTCAAGTTCGTCGGGGTCGTACATGGATCGACGGACACCGTCTAGGGCAACTGATGCATCAACGACCTGCTCACTCCATCTAGGCCACTGACCAGGTCTTCAAATTGCGACCTCAGTGAGGAATTGAACATCCTGGGTTTTTTTTTTCCCGATAAGAATTGGATTTTGAAGATGAAAATGAATCAATACCATTACTTCGCATTCGCAAGGCTGAGTAAAACCAAGAAGATCTAGACAGTTTTAATGGGACATCCTAACCTGGAAAAGGCTGTGCTGGATGTTAGTATACATGATATCAACCATTTCATGTTTTTTGGAGCTGAAACGTAGACCGTTTGTGTGAGCCTCGAGCGACCCAGTTGTTTTTTTTCCACTCAAAAAGGGTCGCATCGTTAGGTCAGTCATGCGGGGTATCCGCTGATCACGCATTTTAACCTGCAAGAAGATCTCACGGGTTGCAAATAGCCGCTACTTCGCTTAGACACACTCCGCCAAATATGGCTTTATGACACAAGTTTTTCTTGAATAATAAGGTCTGCCTCCTCAGCCACACGGGCTGCGTGCTGGCGAAACCGCTTCCGCAATTCCTGGATCATGCGATAAGCAGCGGTCAGCCGACGTGGCTCGCGACTACGATAGAGCATTTCCTTGATAAATGTCGAAGTTCGACCATGTTGATCGATTAGCTTTCCAGTGGTGGTGGCGACTTCCTTTGCAAGTGATTGACCAGGCGTGTAGAGGTTCAGACGGAGGTACCTGCCCCTTGCGATGAGAAACGCGGTGAAAAAAAATGAAAGGAATATCGAGTCCAAGCATATCTCTTTCTATCTGATACTCTCAACTCACGTGGCCGTACGATCGGGATCTGGTTGCACAGCATTCTTTATCATGCTAATATGAAATGGGACTGGACTGCCATTGATTGGGGCGAAGACTACTTGTGCTGCCAAATCAACATATATCTCATTTGGAATCAGGTCACTTGGATACTCTCTTGTTGAGCTGCACAGAAAATATAAGATATT